CATGTGCGGAGATATGAAGTTACGCTGATCGGATATAAGGAGGATTCGGATAGCGAAGCGCCAGGCTCGTCGCTGCCATTTGTTTTTGCATGACTCCGTGCTGCACAGAGATCGCCTGCACTGGTGTGTGACTACGGTTTGCATTTTGAATATCTGATGCTCCTGTATGCTAAGCACATGCATAACCAAATGTTCATTCTAGGCTTGCAGGCTCGCATATGACTAGCTAAAAACCCCAGAAAAATACTGCTTCCTGCTCAGTTTGCTTGTCGTGTTAATTCGATGCAAACAGTGTCCCCAAACCAAACTTTCATTTGCATGAATGCTGACCCAAGCATGCTTTGAGGCCGGACTTGAAATATTTCGGACGTACATAAGTATAGAAGAGAATATATAGAAAGTATAGAATACCCTTGTAAAATTTCAGCTTCCTAGCTTAACTGGCTGGCGAAATTGCTTTTTGTTACAAATATGTTTGAATTAAGAAAAAATGTGCCATGCAGGCACACACCAACGCTTGTATTATGCTGCCATGTTCGTGCATGGACAACAAATATTCTCATGAATAAATGGCATTCAACTCAGTTAGATTCTTGGGCTGGCAATTTGCTAGCAACGACTGCAATTTGCCAGCTCTGCCCGACCTGTAACCATGGCGTAGGCTTGCGTAACAGTTTATTTCGAAATCATTTGCTCATACGCTAGCAGAGGATATTCGAGCGAAATTTCAGCTTTCTATCCTATCTGATCTCTGAAATCTTCCCGCTGAAAAACTTAGGTGCCTGCACGTGACAGACAGTCACAAGTGGACGCTGGTTTTAAACTGTATGGATGGCACGTGAGGTGGAGATGCCTTTTTGAAATTTCAGTTCCTAGTTTCTGTAACTGATGATTTAAAAGTGGTGACGAGAAAAACATAAACATGCGTAGAAACACACACATCGGCTATCCTCTCAACAGAATTCGCTTTGCGTTTGCATAAAGATGCAAAAACGCATAATGAAAACTCTGCCAGCAAAACTGATGACTAGAAAGTACTTGGAACTGCTGCTTCTCAGCCTACCAAAGTATAGTTTTTTGGGATCTAAATAATGTGGGATAGCACAAGAGCTAATACGTTACTTGTGTTTTCGGTACCGAATGATGTCTGAGGGGTTTCACTCAATTCCTCCGAGCCAGTGAATCGTTCCATCCGAACAGTGATTGGATGCCTGCAAAAGAAAGGTATCGTAAAATATTTAATTATAAAATTATATAATGTTTTTTTTTACTTTTTTAACTTGTGAGTCAGGAATGCCAACTGTGTTTACAATTTTCGTTCGTTTTTGTCCTATTCTTTTTCCATACCTAAAAAAAAAAAAACCACTTCCTTCTCCACTTATCTTCTTCCTTGTCTTCTTTTGGCCCCCTACCCCTATTCCCTTTTCCTCTATCATCTCCTTTTATCTCGCTTTCTCCCAAATTCTTAAAATTTCCTCCAAATTATTACATCATCCCATGGGGCGGACCCTAACTCCCTTTATAAACCTCTTTACCTCTCCTCTTGGCTTTAGTTTCTTCTACCGGCCTCAGTTTTCCTCGACCATCGACTTCATCAACCCCATCATGCCAGCTACGACTCCCGCCGACCCAATCTATGGGCACGACTGAGACTCGGACCCCTTCCTCTCAAAGCCAGAATTATTCGACCTCGGAGCCCCTTTGCTAAATTCCCTGCTCAGCAAGCCATCCCGTTCGTCAGTGCCCAAGCTTCACGCTTTGTGTACTATTGCTTTTGCCTGTGTCGTAACAAGACATAAAACTTTTCATTTCCCTAATTGGCTCTCTAGTCTACGCACCACGCCACACAGCGATCCACACACGTGAACAACCCTTCCCATAAAAATTTTTACTGTATA